TTGGCCTCGGTGGCTGCGGTTTCCTTGCGCAACCTCTGCTGCCGAGTTTGCTGCATCCCGGGGTCTGGGGAGGGCGCACCAAGGACCCCGTCTGCGGTGATAGGCGCCCCCCATTAGGGTGGGCAGGCACTCCCTTTAGGGTGCTCACTAGGGTGTTGGGGGCCTGACAGGAGCAGGAGGACTCAGTTTCCCCCTCGGTAGGGTAAGACGTCTGGGCTGCCGTAACCAGAGGGGCTGTGCAGACCCGTCCCCCCTCCCCGACGGGCCAGGAAGGATCTGAGCGCCTCCATCATGGGCTGGGGAGCTGGTGGGAGCTGCACTCCGCACCCACCCATCCGCCAGCAGCCGGCGTCCGAGACCCGCGTGGTCACTGTGGTCTTCCTGGGCCTCCTGCTGGACCTCCTGGCCTTCACGCTGCTGCTGCCCCTGCTGCCCGGGCTGCTGGAGAGCCACGGCCGCGCACATGTGAGCCCTCCTCACCCTCCATCCCGAAGCCTGACCCCCACGGTGGGTGCCCACTCCCCCGCCTCTCATGCTTCCTGTCCCCCAGGACCCTCTCTATGGCTCCTGGCAACGAGGGGTGGACTGGTTTGCTGCAGCCATCGGGGTGCCCGCAGAGAAGAGATACAACAGCGTCCTGTTCGGAGGTGTGGCCCTGAGCCCCATGCTGGGAGCCCCTGGTCCTATCTTCCTGGGCTCCCCACCCCCCTGCCCCAATCTTCCCTCCCTGAGCTCCCATCATCCAGGTCCTCGTTCACACCTCCTTACTCCTGGGCACCATCTGCTCCCTCTGTGTCCACTCTGTCATAGCCACCTTGGCTTTGAGGTCCATGGCCTGGGAGTGCCGGGCCAGGTGAGCAGACTCTTGGGGACGGAGACTGAGGTGTGGTGACCCTGACTTCTGTCTCCTTCAGGTCTGATTGGCTCAATATTCTCCGTCCTGCAGTTCCTCTGGGCACCGCTCACGGGGGCCGTCTCCGACTGCCTGGGGAGGCGCCCAGTGATGCTGCTGTCCCTGGTACGGGTGCCCCTGGGGTGGTACCTGAGGGGCCAGCAGCACCTGTGTCTAAGCCCGGCTGTCCCAGAGCCATTTCTGCCACCCAGCGGACGTTGGGGACACAAGGGCCCTTGGGTGCTGCAGAACAGGGCAGGGACCCAGGGGTGCTGGTGGCCCCCGTCACTCCTGGCCTGAAGTGACCACGCCTACCCTTGGCTCCCGCCCCGAGGCAGGCAGGTCTGGCCACCTCTTATGCTGTGTGGGCTGCCTCGGAGAGCTTCGCAGCCTTCCTGGCCTCCAGGGTGATTGGCGGCATCAGCAAGGGGAACGTCAGTCTCTCCACGGCCATCGTTGCCGACCTGGGCTCTCCACCCGCCCGAAGCAGAGGCATGGTGGGTGCACGGGCTGGGGGTTGAGGGCCCCGAGGGGCTCCGGGGCCTGGTCGCCCTCCTGACCCAGGTGGCTTCTCCCCAGGCAGTCATCGGAGTGGCCTTCTCACTGGGCTTCACGCTGGGCCCCATGCTGGGCGCCTGCCTCCCTTTGCAGATGGCACCCTGGCTCGCCCTGCTCTTCGCTGTCTCGGACCTACTATTTCTCTTCTGCTTCCTGCCAGAGACACTGCCCCCAGAGAAGCGGGTACGGAGGAACCCAGAAACCACCTACAGGTCCCGGACCCGGGGGTTCGGTTCCCTGGGCATGTAGGGAGCCTGTCGCGGTGCCGGTCCTGGGTGCCAGGGGAGGCCGGACAGTCCTCTCCTGGTGTCCAGAGGCTCTTGGGGACACAGTGTCTCCTGGGGTCTCTCTGCTTCCCAGCCCCTGCCTCTACGGCCCGGTAGGTGGGACGGAGGCCAGGCGGCTGGTCATGTCCCTCCCCGGGCTGCCCCCCAGGCCCCCAGTAGCCTCTCCAGTTCTGCCCCCTCCAGGCACCCTCCCTCACCCTGGGCTTCCGAGCTGCCGGCGACTTGCTCAGTCCCTTGGCCCTGCTGCGCTTCTCCGCTGTGGCCCATGGCCAGGACCCGCCCACTGGAGACAGTAAGGAGTGGCCCCTCCTGAGGGTGGAGCTCTGCCGGCTACTCTTGGGCGGTGGACCCCTCATGCCCTTGCCCTGCTGCCCCCCAGGGCTCAGCCACCTGCGCCGCCTGGGCCTGGTCTACTTCCTCTACCTCTTCCTATTCTCGGGCCTGGAGTACACACTGAGCTTCCTCACCCACCAGCGC